CAGCTCTGTATGTCTCCTTTTTTGGTATTTTCACACAAATTCTTCTGTAGTTGGGATTTAGTCCACTTCTGTATCCTTCCCTTCAAGGCTCAGGGGGCCAGGATTATCTTCTGTGTCTGTGTTAATTGGTTTCCCTTTTCTTTGTTGAAGAAGGTCTGTGCAGTCTTTCTGCCTAGTTCACCATCTTGTTTCATTACATTCGGAAAACAGACTTTTTAAAAATTACTAGTGACAGATTATTTGAAAGTATTAAAGGTCTATTTCCTTTTTTGGGACTTGGATCAAAGGGCAAAGCATACTAGTTAATTCAGTGTACATACATTTCCCAGTTAACTGGATAAAAAAGAAGATTCTGAAAATTATCAGTTGGATATATAATTCATGAATAATGCTTAGGAATATGATAGAAGAAAACTAAAAATGTGACTGGCTCCTCATAAGAATGTTTAGTACAAAAAATCACAATGTTTAAAACTTCTCACATTGTTGGTTTTAGTAATTTATAATGAGGTTGTTTATTGGTTTTGCACTTCCCTTGGGTGTGGTTATAGAGCTCCTCCCATACAGCATAACCATAAAAAGGGAGAACAAGGAAGAAGGAATGTATGAATAGATAGATAGGTAGATACAGATGTTAAGGTGTGTATGGGATGTGTGTGTGTGTGCATTTAAATAAATAATTTTTCTTTCTACCTGTCCTCCTTGAAGATGGTAAACTATATACTTCTAATGATATTAGCATTTTAAGAGAAATGCTGGTTAACCCAAATCAATCAATAGGCCATATAGGGAAGATATTTTTGATGTGGCAGCCTTAACTGGAAGTCCAATAATGCAGAATATGCCTGATTGTGCATTGTTCACCTTGCCCTTATGTCCCATCTGTGAGAAATGTGCCAGTACCTCTGTAAGGCAGAGTTAATTACTTAGGAATAGACAGTGTTGAAAAAGCATACAAGTAATCTTTAAAACCACTAAATAAATAACTTACATGATAAGGGTATTTTGCAATAATAGCTGTAATTGCATTTACTTTGCTTTTATATAATGCATGCTTTTATTATTTTTCAGTTTATAGTATAAAAATATTTACATTTAATCTTACAAATTAAATGTGCAATGTGGGAGGGGAAAGGCTTTTTTTGCTTGAGCTGTTAGGATGTTTGGGGCTAATATCAAATACAAAAGAAAACGAGATTTTCAAGAGAGAGTGATTTAGTTTGGGTCATGCTTTATAAGCATATGCAATATGTTTTGAATATAATGCACACATACATATAACATGCACTGGAGACTTATCATGCGAAGGGGTTGCGCAGTTTGCAAAATTAAAGTATAACATGCATAGTATTTCCATGAAAATATGATATGTCTTGTTCCTTCAGCTAGTTTGTAAGTCCTTCAGGGACAGCAAGCCTGACTTATTTCCTTCTATCTCCAAGTGGTCAGTGCTGTGCAAACTAAATAATAAATGCATATTTGCTTAATAAAAGGAAAATACTTAACTGGACTGACACTGGAAGTATTAAACTGCTTAAAGAAATTTTTGCATCATATGTTAATTAGTGAAAAAAATATAAAAAGAACAATTCGACGTTAGTTATTTTCTGATATAGCTAGTACAAACATTTCTGTTATGGCTAAAGAAGGGGAGTAATCCTCAAGGAAAGAAATTAGCCAGTTCATTAATTTGGGGCCATTATTTGTCTTACATTGTGTATTATATGGTAAAGTGAAGTCATATGTAACCTACTACAATTTAAAGGTTGCACTGAGCTCTAATAGGTGTAATAAATGTTTCAGTTACTTGGTATCCAAATAAAAAAGTCCAGATAACAATCCAGAATTTGCCTATTTACAAGAATTATTTGGGCACTCAAATTGGAGGTTCTAACTTACTTAGTTTTTAAGTACATTTTCACCATAACTATTATAAATTTTCTTCTGTATAATTAACTGAAGATATGACTTAATTAGTAAAATCCCTTGAGTTAGATTGTAAGTAGTTGTAGCTATTACCCATCATTGTAATTTTTTTGGTAGTAGATGACTTCTATATATTCCTTCAGGTGTCTCAAGTAGATACCATCTGTGAATGTTTATTGGAGCACGAAGAGCAAGTCTTGAAGGATACCTCATTGGAATCTGTTGAATGGCCTGAGGTGGTGATCAATGTGAATAATATCCTGAAGGTACAAAAATATAGTGATTATTTCAGCAAATCAAAACCTAGAGAGTGGATAGAAGAGAAGGAAAGTGATCACCATATTACTATTCTGTACCCCCAATAATATATATAGTTTTAGTGATTTGGTAACTCCAAAAGGTTCGAAAAGTATCAGTCATTTTATTAATCACTTAACAAATATTTTGAGTATTTGCCTTGTACATGTAAATAAACGTCTATAATCCCAAGTTTCTGTTCTGTAGAATAAACCTTTCATTTGGAGAGGGATGTTTATATCATTGCAAGTGTATTAATGTTAATGTGACTATCTAAATATTTTTCATTTCTATTTTTTAATTACTTAGAAACTTGCTACTTATATTATTGATTTTGTGAATAAAACCAGTGATGATGTTATTGTTGTTAGGTGCCAATGAGTCATTGCCAACTCACCATGACTCAGTGTGACAGAGTAGAACAGCCTTACAGGGTTTTCTTGGCTGTAATCTTTAAGGAAGTAGATCACCAGGTTTTTCTCCCACAGAGCCACTGGCTGAGTGTAAACTGCTAACCTTTCAGTTAGTGGCCAAGTGCTTAACCATTGTGTCACCAGGATTCCACTGCTAGTAATAGTTTACCAAAATTGAACTTAAATTATTGAGAAAAGCTGATTTTAAATACAGCATGTGCTGAAACATTTATTTATTTATTTTTTTAGGATATGCTGCAGGCTGCTTGTCATTATCGTCAAAATAGAAGCTCCCTGTACAGAAGAGTAGAACCCCTAGAAAAAGAACCTGAGTATGTTCCATGGACAGGTGAGATTGCAAGCATGTAGCTCAACTGATCTGTTAACAGTTGGTCCAAATATATTTCTAATGAGCCATCATTTTTGGATGCTTCCTTTACTCCCCTAATGAAAGTTTCTAAATGAAATGAAGAAATCACATGCATCATCTCCAAAATGTTTACCCATGTTTTAATTGACTGTGCAAAGGCATTCGACTATATGGTTCATAACAAATTGTGAAGAATGGGAATTCTAGACACTTAATTGTGCTCATGAGGAACTTGTACATGGACCAAGAGACACTAACAGAACAAGGGGATACTTCATGGTTTAAGATGAAAGGTGTGTGTCAGGTTTGTATCCTTTCACCCTACTTACTAAATCTGTAGACTGAACAAATAATACAAGAAACTGGACTATATGAAGAAGAATGCACGTTTGGATTAGAGGAAAACACACTAACAACCTGTGATAAGCATATGATACAAACCATGCTTTGTGCACCTGACCCAAGCAGTGGTATTTTTAGTTGCTTCATATGCATGTGAAAGTTGGGTGTGAAGCAGAAAGACCAAAGAATTGATGCATTTGAATTATGATATTAGTGAAGATTATTAAATATACCATGGACTGCCAGAGGAACAAACTAACCTGGAAGTTAGTATAGCTAACTTGGAAGGAGTATAGCCAGAATGCTCCTTAGAAGAAAGGATGGTGAGACTACACCTTCGTACTTGGTCATGTTGTTGGGCTGGGCTAGTTCCTGGACAGGGATATCATGCTTGGTAAAGAAGAGGGTTTGTGAAAAAGAAGATCCTCAACAAGATGGGTTGATAACAGTGCCTGTAATAATGAGCCCAAGCATAACAATGATTGTGAGGATAGCACAGGACTGGGCAGTGTTTTGTTCTGTTGTGCATCAGGTCACCAGGTCACTATGAGTCAGAACTCACTTGATGTTACCTAACGACATCATCTCAAAAAAAAAAAAAGAACTTGTCAAAATCACTTTATTTCCTTGGAATCATTTATAGATATCTATAACATGGTTTTATAATTTACTTATCTGACTGGTACTTAGTACAGCTAGCTATTCATAGAAACAGAGTTAAGCCGTTGAGATACTGATAGTATGAAAATAATTTCGTACTATGAAGGAAAAAGGATCAAGTTTACCTAGCTTAATGCTGAGAACATATTCATAGAGAAAATGTGGTTAGAGCATGGCATAGAAAAATATCCATTGAACATCTCTTTGACTCTTTGATTTGTTTTTTTTCAAGCAGTGGTGAAATGGCATAATTTTTAGGCAGTTGCTCTTTCCTCTAGCCATTATAAGGAGCTCTGGTGGTGCGGTGGCTAAGGTATTTGAATGCTAGCCAGAAGGTTGATGATTAAAACCCACCTACTGGTCCATGGAAGGAAGATGGGACAATCTACCTCTGTAAAAATTTACCACCTCGGAAACCCAGTGGGGGTCCCTATGAATCCGAATTGACTTGATGGTAATGAGGTTTTTTTTTTTTTTTTTTCAGTCTGGCCATTATAGAACCTTAATTTACCACATTATTTTGTGTGATTTTATAGCAACGAGTGGTCCAACTGGAATTCGAACAGCAATAGTACATCAACATGAGATTGTCCTGAAGATGGTTTATCCTCAGGCAGACAGCAGTCTCCGAAATGTTTTGATAGAACAGCTGGTGGACCTGATTGATTGCTTCTTGGATGGTTATGTTTCTCAGCTTAAGTCTCTGGACAGATCCAATGATCAAGAAAGATACAACAATCTGGAAATGGAGTACCTACAGAAGAGATCAGATCTCTTAACTCCTCTTCGTAAGTATATGATACCTAGTGAGGCCTGTCAATGAGTTGGAATCGACTAGACAGCAACTGGGTTTCTTTGGGGGGGGGGCGTAGTAGCTCTTTGAGAAATCCCTGGGTGGTGCAAACAGGTCATGTGCTTGGCTGCTAACCCAAAGATGGGAAGTTTGAGCCCACCCACAGGCACTTTGGAAGAAAGGTCTAGTAATCTACTTCTGACACAGACAGGGTTATCATGAGTGAGAACTGACAGTAACGAGAACTAACAGGTCTTTGGATTGGCAGAATGAAGAGTCAAATAGTTAATGCAGTTTATTCAGTATAGTATTGTTAATCTAACTGTAAGCAAAGACTTAAGGCAAAGCAAATATATACAGCTTTCTGTGTTCATTTATTCAACCTTTTCCCAAGACTTTATACCTACCATTCTACCTTTTTCTGGGTAGACTATCATGGAAGTTGCTTAAGATGATTTAAAAGTGAATAAATTAACATGTGGAGACAGCCTTCACAGAGCTTATCTCAAAAAACAGACCTTACATGAATAACTAGACTGCATAGAGTGTGATAAGGGGTGTTAGAGAAGTATGGAAAAATAATATTATGGCTGTTCAGTAAAGGACAAATTATTTTCAAGGCTCAATCTTCCTTCCAAGGAGTAGCTGGTAGGTTTGAACTGCCAGCCTTCTGGTTAGCAGTCAAATGCCTTAGGCAGTACACCACCAGTGCTCCTTTCTCAAGGCTAGGATTAGGTAAAGTAACTCATTTTGCTAGTACATAAAGGAAGGAAGTTCTGTTTTGGTAGAAAATGATGACACAAAAAACTGAATTAGCATCTTTAATGAGTTTATGTGGCTTATGAAACTACCTACCAATAACTGAAAAGGTTACTGTTCATTAATTATTTTTAGTGTATAATATGAATAAACCTGTCCACCATAGGTAACCCTGCTAGTATTTGAAATACTTGTGGCATAACCTCCAGCCTCATGGCAACATGCAAGCCACCACAGTACTCAAACTGACAGACAAGTGGTGGATAATATGAATAAAGGTACTTTTTTTTTTTTAATTACATGGTTTAAGTTTTTGCTAACAATATTTTTTTCCCATCTGTTCTCATTTCCATAGTTACATTAGGCCAGCACCAGTGGGCTGCTTCTTTGGCAGAGAAGTACTGTGACTTTGATATCTTGGTGCAAATGTGTGAGCAAACTGACAACCAGACTAGACTGCAGCGTTACATGACCCAGTTTGCCGATCAGGTAACATGTATTGAATATTTAGCAGTGGATTCTGTTATAAGGCTTTATAACATTTCAAATCTGTAATTGGAATTTAATTCTTGGTGCTGCTATTACAGAAATAACCTGAATGAGTGGCTTTAACAAACAGAAGTTTATTGTTTTACAGTTTAGGAGTCTTTAAGTCTGAATTGAGGGTGGTGGCTCTAGGGGAAGACTTTCTCTGTCAACTCTGGGGAAGAGTCTTCTTTTCAGCTTTGGTTCCTTGGCTATCTTCATGTGGTGTGGCATCTGTCTTCCCCCATCTGTGCTGCTTTCTTTGTTCCTAATCTGCTCTTTTTCCGCCTGTCATGTGGGAGACCAGGCTTCGGTTCCCTGACGGGGAGCCAGGGAGCTCTGGTAGTGTGGTGCCTGAGGCATTTGACTGCTAACCAGAAGGCTGGTGGTTCAAACCCACCAGCCACTCCTCAGAAGGAAGATTGGGCAATCTACTTCTGTAGAGATACCGCCTCGAAAATCCAAGGAGGTGTTGCTGTGAGTTGGATCTGACTCAACAACAGTGAGTTTAGTCTGCTTTTTTATATCTCAAAGTGATTGGTTTAAAACACACCCTACACTGGTATGATCTTATTAATATACACCAACAAAAGTCCTATTCCCAAATGGGATTACATCTACAGGTATAGGAGTTTAGGATTTACAGTATATATTTTCCAGGACTACAGTTCAGTCCATAACAGAAATATAATACAATCATTTTGTGGTTGAAATCCTTTTAAGAAGGTACTAATTTGTACATTATGTTTCTTTGTAAACTGAAAAAAATTCAGTATATATAAATATTACTGAAAGATTCTTTTGACCTTTGAAAGGTATGTTAAAACTTATTCATTTTCAGTTACAATAGAAGTACTTAGGTTCATGAGTATTGGTAAAGTTTTAAGGATTTGAACAGAAGATACTTGGGAGCATAGAATTCTTTCAGAGAGCTCAGATTTACATACACCTAAGGTTCCTCCTTTCTTTGGATCTGACAGCCTATTTCCTGTTTCTAAAAAAGTTCACATTATGATACTGTATAGGTAAATTTAAGCTGGTTATTAAATCAGCTTACTCAATTTGATTTTTACATAAAAACCTATTTTTTCCTTACTATTATTATTAGGTATCATTGAGTCAATTCTGACTCATAGTGACGTTACAGGACAAAAAAAAAAGAAGATAAAAATCACCTGTCATTCCACTAACCAGAAATAACCTTGTTTAACATTTAGTTTGTATTCTTTCAGTCTATTTTTTTTTTTCAATTTTATTTTGATTTGGGTGAAGATTTACAGAGTAAATTCACTTTTCATACAGCAGTTCACATATACTTTGTCTCATGTCATTGACCAAAATTTAC